GCCCTACCACCCTCTGTGTACAAAACAAACTTGCCTTGCATATCTCCTTTTCCCCCCTCTCACCTTAAATCAATGCCCCCTAGTATTTGATACTCCCACCCTGGGACTGTGAGTCTCAGCATCATGTTTCATCTAAAAGACCAAAAAAACTTAAGACACTGCAGTAAAAAGAGTCAGTAACATCTGGAATAAAGTGCTAGCCCAGTGGTGACCATCTAACCACAGTCAATTGTTGTTTAAAAAAAAATTCCACTTGGTTCACTAATGTCCTTTAGGGAAGGAAATCCACCATCCACACCTGGACTGGAACTCCAGACCAACAGCAATGTGGTTGACTCTTAATAGCCCACTGGGCAATTAGGGATAAGCATCAAATGCTGATCCAGCCAAAGAGCCTCGCCTCACATGAATGAACTTTCTTAAAAAGTCAAGTGGTCTGCTTTGTCCTGGATCATGTCAAACTTCGAGTGTTATGGGAGCCGCACTCATCCAGGCAAGTGGGGAATATTCCATCACACTCCTATAATAAATGGTAAACATTAATTTGTTGTTGACCTCCTGTTGTGGATTGCCAAAATAAAAGCCACTGGCAAATTGGACTTGTAATCCCCTCAAATAGGCAAAAAAAAAATTAAACAACAAGCAAAAACATATTTAGAGACAAAAAACTGCAGATGCTGGATGCAAGGTAGACAAACAGCAGGCCAGGCAGCATCTGGAGGAAAGGAGCAGTCAACGTTTCGGGTATAACCCTTCTTCAGGACTGGAAACCCAAAACTTTGACTGCTTCTTTCCTCCAGATGCTGCCTGGCCTGCTGTGCTCTTCTGGCCTCTGGTTTGTCTACCTAGGCAAAAACATATGCCTTTCAAAACTTCAATTTTGAATGCACTTGCATCAATACCCTCTAGCATCCCTGGATACCATCTCTATGAAATATACCTATGGAATTGCTTGAAATGCTTAATAAAATCAAGGCCAAATATAGTATAAACTGCGAGTGTTTAGAGACTTTGCTGTCTTGTGGCAGTGATACTGTCCTACCACCTTTGGACCAGAAGTCCTGTTCAAATCCCACTGGCCACAAAGGTGTGTCATAACATGTCTGAACATGTTGATTAAAATATTTTCCTCTACCTCTGGGCCATGAGACCGACATACAATCCTCACTTGCCAGGAAGCATGTCATAATATGTTTGAACAGGTGAATTAAAAGCAGTTGGAAAATTGACTTTAAAAATGCTAAATAGTTGAAAATAGATCTCCAAAAATTTTTACGGTAACTCAGTTCTGAGAAAAACAAATAACACATTTTAAAAATAATCCACGTTCAGGAATTATTCATTAAATGTTCTGTTGGATGTATAGCAGTAAACTGGGTTAAATTGGTGGCTATTCTTAATAATAATGAGACAGTAGCGGTAGATCTTTGATTTGAGGTATTACAGCCCTTGTGATTCATCTCCCACAACTGTGTTGGGTGTGCTATTTTTTACTTGGTGAAAGTTTGAAGGTGGTAGCATTCTCTTGACAGTGCTGCGCTTGTACTTTTTGTTGTGGGATCACAGCAGACAGACTTGGTGTCAGCCATGGTTCAATTGGTACCACTCCTGTTTCTGCATCATAAATTTAAGAGTTGATGTTCCAATCTAGGACTAGTGCATGAAAACGTTCACCCACTAGTGAAGTACTGCACTATCTTCACTTTTCGGTCTTTTAGATTAGACATAATGCTGAGTCACTGTCAGCCCCTTTAGGTGGCAACATTTGCAGTCTTTTTCCTGCAATGTAAATATCAAATACAGAGGGGGTATGCAGTTCAAAGTGAAAGAGGGAAAGGAGATGTGCAAGGCAAGTTTTTTTTTTATAAAACAGGTGGTAGGTGCCTGGAACATGCAGCCAGGGTAGGTGGCAAAGCAGAGACAATAGCAACATTTAAGAAGCATTTAGACAGGCATGGTAACAAGCAGGTGTTTGAGGGATATGGACCATGTGCAGATAGGTGGGATTATCTCAGAATGGCATCATGAGCACCACAGACATAGTGGGCTAAAGGGCCTGTTCCTGAGTGTATTGTTCTGTGTTCTATGTTCATCCATTGCAATTGTAGGATAGCTATTGGTTAGAACACAGTCTCAAAAACAGCACTTCAATGTTACCAATTTGTGATTTATGGAAGCTTGCCTTCTGTAAATTGGCTGCCATATTTTATGAATTTGTATAGTGCTTTTCATAATCAAGCTTTTTTTAAAAAAAAAACGTTGGCTACTATAGTGCACCTTTGAAAGCTTCAGTGCACTGTTTGAAGATGAAATGCAATACTAAATCAAGTGGTAAGGCAGCAGATCAAATATACTGCTCTGAACCATACATGAGCTGTGCTAGAAAAAGGCAAATTATCATGCTGCAGCAACAGAATAGTCACAGTGGTAAATAGGAACAAATTAGACAAGACTTCAAACATGGAAACTAAGACCAGTAGGTCACTCTGTCCTTCAAATCAACTCAATAGGATTCTGGCTAATCCTCTACATCAACAATGTATTGCAGATTTCTCTCCATACTGCTTTGTGCACTCTGGATCTACAACGTTACTGCTCCATGTATTTGGCCACTTCAATTATGTTACATCTGTATAGCCTCCTCACCATTCTAGACCCCTGCTGTCATCAGGAAGTTGCAAAGAATCAAGTTCCGTGAGGACAAGATCAGACTAAAGTAACAGATGTATCAAAGCAGTTTACAGTCTTGGTAAGCTGTGGAGTTGGGTAGGGGGTGGATTTGTCATTGCAGAGAACAAACAGAAATGAGCTATGAGAGTTTGGGACAATGAAGTTGGAAGCAAAGAGGTGGTGGGTAACAGGGACATTGCCAAAGGTCAGTGACAGCAAAATGACGATTTGACATATTGGGAACACAGAGGGAGGTAATGTAGTGCTATGAAAACTTTGATATCCAGCCATCAGATTTGTTTAGCAGGGGAGGAAAATTGATTGCATGTATAAACAGGTGCTTGGTGACCCTCAGGGTAAACTCACCAGCAGCTGCCTTGTTCTGATGAGAGCAGCCTACGGTCCTCTCAGATTATGGTGACTTCCAATTCACTTGTTCACGAGCTTGGAAATAATTCTCAGCTCCCACTAGAATTCTTCTGTTACAGTGCAGTGTTGCTACCTCTGAGCCAGGAGGCTGGGGTTCAAGAACCACCTGCTCCAGAGCCATATAATCACATCTCTGAACATGTTGAAAATAACCACCAGCAACTGCTGACGAAATGGTGGTCATTGATCTTAACTTACAGTAAATCTAGAGGGGTGGAAGTTGCCCAAGATTGTCTACAAGTTGAAATGCTGTGCACTCAGCTTCAAGTAGAATGGATTGAGGTCAAAATGGGAGGGGGAGTTTAAATGGCAATTGTCTGGAAGTTCAAGCTCCCATCTGCAGAACAATACACATGTTCAGTATAACAGTTAGAAAGTTTAGGCTTCCCATTGTAGCGAAGACCACATTAAGCAGTGAGTCTAGTTCACTGATGCTCATCAGAAATGTTGTTGCTCGACCTGGAAACAATGAGGCTCTAAACAGTAACAATGAAAGTGGAAGGGCAGATACTGCATCCCTCACAAAGATGAAAATGGGTAGATCATGTGTCACAGAGTTAATGGCCATTATGGAACGTTGCAACTGACAGGGATGGGACGTAGGAGTGTTCAAGGTGGAAGCTGCAGAGGGCAATCTGTCAATCTCTAGGTTGCTAAGATGTACTGTGTTTTAACAGCAAGTGGAGAAGTAGTGCACGTAATGGAACAGTTACGATCGAGAACCCCAGTGGTTAAAGCACTGGTGTGGAAGGTGAAGTTGAAAATAGAAGATACTGAAAATGCAATGGATTTTACAGGGCCATGCAACTTGGATAATTTATGTCACAGTACATTCCATGATATACAAACAATGTCTGATGGTCACATATCAACCTGGAGACCTTTTAGCTCATGCTTTCCATGGTAAAGTTACTGAGGGTAGATAATCTAATTGCATCCAAGACCCTCTCGCCACCGATGTGCTAAACTTAAATGGGAGAATGGCAACTCTAATCAACATCTAAATCTTTTCCACAGCACGTGCAGGAAAGCAAAGAGAAAGGAGATTCTTGCCTAACTTACCCAAATAGTGTTACAACTAGTTATAATGTGCCCATTACACTTGCAGCAGCTTTGCGCTATCCACACAGCTAATGCTCAATTGGCTGGAACAATTGTTTGTGATACATGGGTTCAGTTGCTGACCAGCAAACATCTCCACCAAGGTCTGCCTTTTCAAACTTACCCAAGGTATGGTGACTTTCAGGATAAACCAACACCAGGTTTTTTTTCCCTCCATAATGAGAAGCCCTATGGTCCTCTGGAACTATGGAGAATTTAGCTTACCAAAGATAAAACATTTGATTCCTGGAATCTAGGAACTGAGTGTAAAAAGCAATGCAGAAACATTACATCACTAAAAACACTAGCACTTCTTTGTCTGGGGTTGACCAAAGTAAAGACAGCAGCTAAGTTCATTAGGTCTGACAATGGAGTTACACAAGTTTTCATACTTGCTCACTTTGAAACATACCTTTAAATGATGAGGTAGTGAAATTCAGAAATTAGGCTCAGCTCCATGACCAGAGGTGTTTTGACATCCAGCTGCGTGAACATACATGGTAAGAAAAACCAGCAAAGTGCCAGTGAGAGACAAACAACAAACTCCAACTAACCACCTCCCCAACATTCAACTGTATTACGATCACTAAATGTCCTGCCATTAACATAACCTGGGGTTCAAAATTGATTTGATATTTAACTGCAGCAGCACAATCACTTTAGTTACATGAACATGAAAGTGTTCCTCTAAGATTTAAAGTAAAGCCAGATGCAACAATGATGAACTGAGATTGATTCAATTAAAGGAGAGAAACCAAACACCTCTGCAATATTAAAACACACAAGCACAACCACAAAGGCAGTATTGACTTTTTTTTTTATTCAGGCCATTCTTTACAATTTACAGTTGGAACTCTGGGAATTCATATACAACATCCTTGCCAGTTAGTTTCTTGTAGACAGCTGAAAATGTATCCACCTGGGGAGGGAAAAACAGAATGTCAGATACCAAACCAACAAGTTAGTGAAAAACAAACATAATAAGAAGAATTGTTCTGAATGAATTTCCTCTAGAAACCTTTTCTCATGTCCCAGTACACAATAACTGCAGTACTTACGAAAAGCTACTCTCAGTAACATTGTGTTATGCCCTTTAGGGAATGGAAAGCCAGAGAATTCTAGTTGGCACTTTGAGGACTTGCTACATGTCGTTGGTTAGCTTACTACTAGTCGTTCCCCAGCTTGGTCTGGGAACAGAGGGTAGAAGTTCAAGAACACAGCCAAGGCAACTTAAAGAAGGCAGTAACATCTTCCAGATCAAGTCAACTGAAGCATACTTGGTAATAAAACTAGAGGAAGAGAAGTCCAGAATACTTTAGCCATTGACAAATCAGCCAACCTAACTTACAAACAGCCGGAGATTGGACACTTCCTAACATTAAAGCACTCACAGATGATGGATCAACCAACATACTAACCAGGCTCTTCTCTCAAATTTGCCAGGTTGAACTTAGTTAAATGTGACATACATTAGCAAACTGGCTTAAAAATCCAGCACAGCATGTCCCAAGAAATGAGGAAGTACACACTTCGTATTGTGTGTACAGAATAGCTGTTGAGGATTCTGCTGACAAATTAAGTATTTCCACACATTTGCCTAACTTGGCCCAAGTAGTTGGATTCAACCACCTGGCATACCAAGATATTTAATTGTGTCATTACAAAGCATTTAAAGGTACTTCATATGGGGCCTTGCGGTGCAGTGGTAGGGATACTAGGGTGATAGGGATTCCAAGCACTGTAGGGCTGGAAGAAATGAGTTGTGGGGGGACCTTGAAGCCATTGAGGAATCTGAAAATCAACATGATGTCTAACAGCTAATGTATATCATAAGCACGGGACTGGCTGGTGAGCAGGACTTGATCCAAGTAATGACGATGGCATGGGGTTTTTTGGGAGGAGGCTGCAGCATTGGAGCACAGCTAGCATGGACTCGTGGTTGGAAGCTAACACAAAAGATCAAACATGATACATGATACAGAGGTTGACAGTGTGATTGTTAGGACTGAGTCAGACAAAAGAAGCTATACAAGTCAGTAGCTAGGTAAAGTTTGTGGCTTTGGTCTTCTAAAAATGCAAGTGAAGAAAATGTTTTATTCATTCATTCAGAATGTGGATGTCACTGGCTAGACTAGCATTTATTGCCTATCACCAAATGTTAAGATTTAACCACATTACTGTGGACCTGGAGTCACATACAGGCTTTACGAGGCAAGGACGGCAGTTTCCTTCCTTAAAAGGGCATTAGTGAATCAGATACAACCGTGGTTTATGGAATGCACCATTCAGCAATGGTTTCATGGTCACCATTAAAAGAAAAAAAAAAATCTAGAATTAAGAGTCTAATGAATTCAAATTCCAGCAGCTGTCATGACAGATTCAAACTCAGGTCCCAAGAACATTACCTGGATCTCTGAATTACAGTCTAGCGATAACACCACTAGGCCACCCCTCCCCTAAAAAGTTAACATTTCGACTCTTGTGATGCTTCTTCAGAAGTTCTAAAGAATCAGTCAACTCAAAACATTAACAGCTTTCTGTCCACAGATGCTGCCAGACCTCTTGAGTTTTTCCAGCTATTTGTTTTCTTTTCAGATTTCCAACATCCTCCTCTTTGTTTTATTTATTAAAATTTATGAACCATTTACCATTCAATGACACGTATCAGGTATCTCTCCAATTGTACAGTACATATAACTATAAAAACCTGAAGAGTTTACATCATTCACCTCCTTGTTAGGTTTTTAAAGGATTACTTTCAGGGACATTCAGGATGCAATCCAACAGCTGGCAACAAAATACCCGATAATGGGAAAAGGCCACTCTATCATTGTACTCAACACTCCAGAAAACACATAGCACATGACTGTTAAGAGAATTCAACCCTTGCTTATCCATATTGAAAAGTTTGCAAATTAAACGTTAAGTTTCAATAAGCGTAGGTTCAACAGTAGTAAAATCTAAGCAGAATTGCATGCACTAAATATTAATTAGGGGATCATCGGAAATTAAGTCAAAAACTTGAGAATATTCCTAATAAATAATGGAAAGTAAGGAATTATGCAAATGCACCATAACATGGTGTATCTGCATTACTGGTTTGAAATGAAACTCACTTTGTGTTCTACATTGTTCTGTTGTGCCTTGTCCAAATGTACTTTGATTAGCCTTGTACCATCCAGTTTCACACGAATTCTCTTGCCCACAATTTCACTGGGGAAAACCAAGTCTTCCAGAATGGCATCGTGTACTGCAGTCAATGTACGGCTGAAAGTGAATATTTGTAATTAAACACTTAGTCTTCAATCCTCAAATTGACTTCAATTTAAACTAACATGCATAGAAAAAGTTGGCAATGAAAAAAACTAAAACATTAAAGTTTGATATCAAGTTAATTTTGACTGTTCTACACCAATAAATGCTAAAACCATCATCATGTATCTTAAATTTCAGATAAATTGCTATGATAAGGTTCGTTAAGCTTAGACTTATTCAGCTTCAAATAACCCCTTCCAAGTTTTAGCCAAATGCTTCTGGTCTGCAACTTTTACTAAACTCCTCACACCAAGATAACATTTTTAAATAGTTCAAAACTATCTTCTCTTTCTCAGAAGTAACTATTGTAAACATCCCTGAACATTCCCCCACCTCCCACCAAAAAAAATCCAAAGTCTACAGTGTGAAAAAAAACTTAAAGCACTACACTCTTTACATTAGAGATAACAAGGTGTAGAGCTGGATGAACACAGCAGGT